ATGACCTGGACCTGCTCTGTAATAACCGGCTGGAAAGGGTACAGTCTCGTCTGGCAGTGTGTGTGTCGGGAAATGCCACGCTTAAAATAATACAGGAGAAATTAAAGTTTACAGAGGCGATGTCATCACAAGACTCGAGATGTCCAAGTGTGTGTGTGTGTGTGTGTGTGTGTGTGGTGTTTGGCTCTGCAAGGGCAGTGCTTTTGTACATTAGTGCCGTTGTGATTCGATTAGTTGGTGAAATGTAATTTTGGCGTGTTTGCTGTTAGTGGTGTCGCACACACACACACACACACACACACACACCGGAATCAGATTAGAGTATTAAAATGCGTCGGGTTTGATTGCACAGGGATACCAGCACCTCCTCCTGCAGGAACACACACTAAATCAATTAACTCTCATTCATTCCTTCCTCTCCGTTATCCCGTCGAGACTCAAACCGCATTACACAGGTCTCATTTACAGAACGCCAACGGTTTAAACACTGACTTATTCACTAAATTAAAAAACTTTGATAAAGTTCATTGCGATACATCTTTAAATAAGCAGTACGAGAGGCCGGGGTAAGATGAGCCGCACCTTATTTATTTCTCGTCTCGAATGCGTACGCCATTTTTAATATTGTGATCTATGGCATTGTGTTAAGTGTGTGTGTCTAATTGTTAACGTGACATTTGTGAACTCATTAATGTTTTTAGATTTGTGGAGTCAAATGTATAGTTTTTGATTGGAAGTGAAAAGATGAAATTAGACCTTTGGGGTAAGATGTGCCATCAGAATTGGCCCTAAAGGCCCCGGGTGGCGTGCCGTTACTAGTGTTGTTGTTAATTAAATGAAAGCTTATTGTAACTATTTTTTCAGTCATCTTCACGTTTCATTAAAACCCATAGGCTAAGTGAGTAAATTAGTTTTCAAATTGAAATATTGAATTTGCGTTGTTGATTTATGACACATCATTAATTAAAACACGGCCTATTAAATGTTCATTCTGATTGTTCTCACAATTTATTCAAAAGAGGCATCATAAATTTCACGTTTGATCAATTTAATACGTCCTGCTGAATAAAAGTAATTGTTTTCCAAAAATAAAAATAAAGGCGTACTGATTGTGGTGGGTCAGTGGTGTTATAGAGAGCCTAAGCCCCTCCCCTTCCGGTCGACCACCATGGGACCTTATTTCGGAAAAATATTGAATGGTAGTCAATGGCGAGAGACAACTAATATTTTGAACTCGTTTGAATAATGCCCTGAATTACACATATGATGTTTGTCCATTTAAAAGATACATTTTAAAGTCAAGAAAGTCGTTAAAAGCGTTGAGGTATAATGCTACGTTCACACCGGACGCGAATCGCGCGTCAAATTCGCGCCTGACGCGTCTAGTTTGACGCTTGACCACTTTGTGTTATTTCGCGTGTCAAGAGCGAAACTGGCGCGCGTAAAAACAAAAGTTTGAAGCGAAATTTACGCGCGTCAGAATCGAAATCTGTTGGCGGCCATTGTTTTTATGTCGACCGAGCATTCATCAAGAGAGTTACCGCTCTGTATTTACTCTGGAGAGCAGAACAGCGGCGTGGGGATCATCGTCGCCGTATATTTGTGTCCACCGGACCCTTCAGAGCCGAACCGTTTGGCGAGTTTCACCATTTGCTCGCTCCAGGAGCTGCGCTGGATGACGGCCGCTGTCAGCGCTACTTCCGCCTGTCCCGCGCCCAGTTTGATGACATGTTGTCCCGCATCGGATCGAGGATCACCCTCGTCTTCATCCATCTAATCTAGCTGTCATTTATTTTTGTTTTGATGATAAATAGAGCCAGCCTTCAAAAGTTATTAACCTGTCCTGTGATTTTTTTTCTCTCTCTCACGTCCAGACACGAATTTATGCACATATGTTGATTGTCTTTACAACATAATACTATTTTGTATAATCTAGCTATGGAATGAATAACATTCAATACAAAATGAACATGTCTCGTATATAGAAATAATGATGTAAGTGATAAAACATTTGCTTTGTTGTGCATAATCCCACTAGTCATATTAACAAAATAATTTATTGAAGCATCCAGACACTTCACCACGTGAGCAAGCAGCTAGGCTCCTGATTGGTTAACGCGGCGCGAATTCACGCCAAAGTTCAGATTTTTCAACACGGGCGGCAGACGCGACTTCGCGTCAAACGCGTGAATGCACAAATGGCACATTCGCGCTTAACGCGCCAGACGCTCAATTCACGCGAACTTGATGCGCGAATGAGGCGTATTCGCGTCTTCCGCGCCGCGCTCCATGGCTCATTCGCGCCGCAGGAATTTTTCACGCGCGTAAAGCGTCTTTGCATTGACTTAACATTGAAATCATTCGCGCCTGACGCCCTATTCGCGTCCGGTGTGAACGTAGCATAAGACTGTGAAAATACGTAATTACAAAAACTACAAACCCCAAAGGCGCACATTTTCTCTCAATGAATGAAGCTAACTTTACTGAGGCTAACGTCTGTCATTGTTTCTACAGTCTTACGCTATAATCGTAACGTTACGAGTGTTTTGTACCAGACTGCACACACACGAGCAGCGCATCTCGCTCGTTGTTTCGCTTCCCGGGAGATGTAGTTCATTGAGCGATTTTCACATAAAACTAAATTTTTCTCTTCTGTTTTTACGACAAACTGCGATGCGTTTTTGACTTTCAGAATTATCTTTTAAATTGATAAGCATCATAGGTGTAATTGAGGGCACAGTTCAGACGGAATAAAAACATAAGTTGTCTCTCGCCATTGACTACCATTCATATTTTTTCCGAAATAAGGTCCCATGAGCCGGAAGCGGAGGGGCGGGGCTTAGGCTCTCTATTGTGTAACGTATTTAAAGGTGAATTGTGTAGTTTCTATACAAGTGTCACCAGCCAGAACTGCAAAAATGATGCTAAAAATAATCAAGTTTCATGAACACTTTGCCCATATGTCAAATAGTGTACACTACATAACCACGTGTGTTTGTGAATCTGCTCATCGTACGAGCGTTCATGGCGGTGTAGGAGTACGCGACAGGCCTGTTGGTTGGTTGGTGGTGTGTGTGTGAGAGCTTAATGTGGGCTGGTTAATTATCTAAGACAAATAGAGAGTTCAGGAGCCGTCTGTGGTGGAGCGCGAGTGTGTGTCTCCATCAGCTTGAGCTGTCTGTCGCTCCAGTGGACAGTCTCGCAGCTTTAAACTCCTCAGCAGAATCAATGAGATGCTGATGTATAACGCAACCTTTATATGTTTAGGATGTGTGCGTCACGCTGGTTTGAAGTCAACCGCTCCATCCTGCATGATTTATTCAGAACCATAAATTCATCAGTAGTGTCCAAGAGACATGTGAAGATCATCGTGGAGGATCTCTACACTTACACCGATCTGTGTGTGTGTGTGTGTCCCCTCCAGTCAGAAGTAGACGACTGACTTGTTTAATGTACGAATGAGATATCTCTCCGCTTCTCTGTGGAGACAAATGTATCGCACACACACAGACACACACACACACAGTTACTAAAGGACCATCTGGGATGTCTGGTGTGTGTGGTGTAATACATTTGCCTGTATTGATCAGAGCCAGACTCCCAGCTAACAAAGTTAGGTTCTGAGAACGTTTTTCTAACGTTCCATTTTGGTTGTGGGAACGTTAATTTAAAATGTTCTAAAAACGTGGAAATGTCCAGTTTGCTTAACGTTGCTGGAACGGTGTCTTAATGTTTGCAGAACGTTGCTGGAACGTTAGCATAATGTTGTTAGAACGTTATCCTAAGGTTAGCATAATGTTGCTGGAACGTTATGAGAACGTTTATCAAACACAAATAACCTGATAAAGACGTTCCGATAACGTTGTTCTTAGAACGTTTTTTATCAACGTAATGAGAACGTTCATCAAATACAAATAACGTGATAAAGACGTTCCAAGAACGTTGTTCTAAGAACGTTTTCTCTCAACGTTACAAGAACGTTAATAATGTTATATGAACGTTCCGAAAACATTATTTTAATAACGTTTTGTCCTAACATTTACACAACTTTTAAAGAACGTTAGTGAATGTTCTGGGAACGTTCCCTGTTAGCTGGGCTGATATATCGGCAGGCCGATATTAGGCATTTTCCAAACTATTGGTATCGGCAGTTATAATGGCCGATAAATGAATATTTCAAAAATGAAATAAAAACGGACGAAACACGCTTGAACCATGTCATGAGTGTTGGAGTTGTATGGTTTGTCCACCAGAGGGCGCTCTACACCATCCCTGTTGGAAACACTCGTTTATAACGAGCTAACCACAAAGCTAGCTAATGCCACTATTATCAGTGGAATTTAATGAGCTTTGTTAATTAATTAATGAGGTTTGTTTCCTCCTCTGTTCTGTTGCGACAATAAAAGAAACAAGTTTTTTTTAAATGCATTATTATATTATTTTAATTGAAACTCATATATAACTACAAATAACTAATCTGTTAATGTTTTGTTGTGCGTTCCTGAAAAAAATAAAATAAAAAATATCGGATTTTAAAACCAACAAATATTTGTATCGTATCGGCCTTCAAAATCCTTTATCGGTCGAGCTCTAGTATTGATATGGTTTGTATGTTTTGTTTTTTACTGCAGTAGTGTACTTACAGCGAACATTAAAAATGTGTTCAAATAAAAATACGTGTGCTCTATTTAAATGAAATAAATTTGATTCAAACTGACTCCAGGAGCATTTACTGACGATACAATGAAAAAAAAAAAAACTCATTCAGAAATCACGAGCTCATTAACATATTTACATAGCCACACCTACTCAGTGTCACATGCAAAGTGGTTAGCCAGCTGTAGCATTCAAGTAATTTGCATATTCAAGTCTTATACTGTAATGGCCACGAAAAACTAAACTATGACTTTTTGACTGCAGCTATTAATGAAATTAAACCAATTAGATGTGATCAGATGTGTATAAAGGAGTTTGACGTGAGGTTGGTCTGTGTTGTGCAGAGCCCCCGAGACCCATCGCTCCGCCTCAGCTGCTGGGCGTCGGGCCCACGTACCTGCTGATCCAGCTGAACGCCAACTCCATCTTCGGGGACGGCCCCATCATCCTGAAGGAGGTGGAGTACAGGATGACTTCTGGAAGCTGGACCGAGACCCACGCCGTCAACTCGCCCAATTACAAACTCTGGCACCTGGATCCCGACACCGAGTACGAGATCCGAGTGTTGCTGACCCGTCCGGGAGAGGGGGGAACCGGGCAGCCCGGGCCGGCTCTTATCACCAGAACCAAGTGTGCAGGTCAGTACGCTCCTCTTCTCTAATCCACCCACGAGTACATATTCATTTTGTCCACGCTAGGAGTGATTAAAGCTCTAGGGATTGTAAAATATTCCTTTGGACTGGTTCTGTTGTGGCCCGGTTATGGCTGACTTCTGGGGTCATGGGAGAAGTTGTTGGGGAGTTTTGGTCTGCTTCCGGCATGGATCTGGTTTACTTTTGGCAAGTAGATTTTGGGCCCAATACCAGTTTGCTGTCTGGGAAGCTTTGAACGGCTTAGTGTGACATGCTTGTTAACCGCCAATTCATTAAGGTAGTCATTAAAGGGATAGTTCACTTTGAAATTAATTTTTGGTATGTTTTATCTTACCTCAAGGGCATCCAAGATGTAGGTGTCTTTGTTTCCACAGTATTTTCAATTTTGATATTTTAAGGTCAAACCGTTCTTGTCTGTCAGTCATATAATGGAGGTCTATGGTCACCACCCTTAAAGAGCAGCACAGAGAAGTCCAAATTAAACATGATTTAATGACTCGTAAATGTAAGTACACATTGATGGCCTAAGACACGAAACGAGCGGTTTGTGTGAGAAAACTAACAGTGTTTATATCGTTTTTACCTCTTGTAGTCACAGCCACGTCCAAGTGATCTCTCGCGCGTGTACGTCACTCATTGTTTACACAGAGATTTCAGAAGTGTTATCCTTCACTGTGAAGATCTAAACCTATTTAGATATACAGGAAATTGCAATGGAAGTTGATTTCGATATATCGACAGACAACGTTGAATTTGTTTTCACAAAAAAAACAATGAGTAACGTACACTCGCGAGAGATCACTTCCAGCGCTTGCGCAGACCGAGTACTAACTGTGGCTACAAGAGGTAAAAACGATATAAACACTGTTAGTTTTCTCACACAAACCGCTCGTTTCGTGTCTTAGGCCATCAATGTGTACTTACATTTACGAGTCATTAAATCATGTTTAATTTGGACTTCTCTGTGCTGCTCTTTAAGGGTGGTGACCATAGACCTCCATTATATGACTGACAGACAAGAACGGTTTGACCTTAAAATATCAAAATTGAAAATACTGTGGAAACAAAGACACCTACATCTTGGATGCCCTTGAGGTAAGCTAAAACATACCAAAAATTAATTTCAAAGCAAACTAAGGAAGAAAAAAAAAGTAAACAGATAAGAGTAAACACTTGCCCACGGCACACTCGTCACTCACACTCAGGACATTCCACCCACTCGTTCCCAGCAAACATTTACAGATGAAAAAACGCCATTGTTTCCAAACATTTCTGACCTGCCTTCTGTGGAAAACTATTTTGTCCACACAATGAAAGTCAATGGGGTCCAAAACGACATCGACTTTCACTGGATGGACAAGTTTGGAATGAGTGGAGGCTCAGTAAACGATTAGGTGAAGTGTAAAAACAGGAGGTTCACACTCCTGCTGTGATCATACACACATAAACACACACAGAAGAGACAGGATTTGGGCTCTCCAGGGCCAGATGGAGGTCCGGGTTCAGCTGCAGTTTCAGAACCAACCTTAAGCGACATTGAAACAAGCGGCACACCTCTAGTGAAAGTGTGTGTTGCCTTCGCACATAAATAATTGCCTGGAGCTTCTTCAGAAACATAATTGCAAAACAAAGTAAACAAGAGAGTGTGGAGCCGTTATCATCCATGCCACTCACCCTCAAGAGCCGTGTGTGTGTGTGTGTGTGTGTTTATATGTTAATCATGACTCAAAGCATGCGCTGTGTACCACCGCCCTTATAAAATTGGAAGCGTATGAGAGTAAACACTGCATATAAGAGCTCTGTGATGCCGTTCTCTCGGCGGGTTTCCATGGTGCCCGCGTTAAACGGCGAGGACAGATATACGGCTCGTATGAGGAGGCACGGAGCGGCGAGCGTCTTCCAGAGCCGTGTATGCGTGGTTTCATTACAGAGAGATTCTCCGAGTCCCCAGTGGCGGCACAGTACGCCGGCCCGCTCGCTCGCCCGCTCGCTCGCTCTCTGATTGATATTCAGACAGGAGCCCAGCTCCCCCATCAATCGCATTTGAACTTTCATATTATTTTTTTATTTTGGCAAAAGACGTTTTCCAGGTCTGCTTTAGATGGAGCGCTCGCTGGCTTTTTCATCTCCCTCTAGCCAATCACACGCTTATCTCACCTCGGACAGGGAGAACCGAGTGGAACCGGTGAATTTACACAATTACATTTAGATTGGTGCCAGTCTGCCCGAGTGCTCTGTTTAAATTCACATTTTCTCTCTCTCTCTCTCTCTATCTGCCGGTTAGTTTCATGCTAAACCTTATTGTCTGGCGGTTGTGTGGCGTGTGCATATTTCACATTTATCAATATTATTATGTTTGGCAGCATAGTTTATCATGGTTGCGGGTATGCATTTTGAAAAGGGCGACAGAGAGGAGGCGTAACTTCCTGAACGAACAACGTCTCTTTCCACTTAAAGACTCACTGAAGCGTGTGTGTGTGTGTGTGTGAGGCCGTAACAGGGTTGAAAACTGTTGCTCAGACCTGTCCCCTCGCTCGTTTGAACACTTCCAGGTTGCTTTTTCCCAAATACCTGGGGAAGAACACCATCCGTCAGCATCAACGTTCATCTCAAAGGCAGTCGCTTTGTTTTCACACATGCAAAGTAGCGGAGAATAATGGTGATATGCGAGATTTATTGAGGTGGTTTTCTGGAAACTTGAGCATAATTCATTTCCAGTTCATTTTTTTGCTTTTTAGAAGACATGGTTTTGATATTAAAGCTACATTACCACATTTTAACCATGATGAGTCTCCGAATAGTTTATGTTAATGAATTGGACGAATGAATCTGCTACGCCACTGCAGATCTAGTAGGACTTCTGCTAATGGACACTAGAGCCCGACCGATAAAGGATTTTGAAGGCCGATACCGATACAAATATTTTTGGGTTTTAAAATCCGATATTCCGATATATCGGCCGATATTTTATTTATTTATTTGAAACTGGACATGATAGTCACAAATTTTGTCCTGCTTATTTGAGTTAAGAGAACTGATGGGGATGATCTTTTAATTGTTATTCAAGCAATATATGTATCGTGACCAACTCAACGAGTGTTGCCGACAGGAACGGTGTAGAGCGCCCTCTGGTGGACAAACTATACAACTCCAACACTCATGACATGGTTCAAGCGTGTTTCGTCCATTTTTATTTTATTTTTGAAATATTCATTTATCGACCATTATAACTGCCGATACCGATAGTTTGGAAAATGCCTAATATCGGCCGATAATATCGGTCTGGCTCTAATAGACACAAAGACACGCTGCTGTAAGATCTGCATAAATAGCAATAATTCTCATTGGCTACTGAATCAGCAGAGGCCAATCAGCTTGTGCCATGTGCTGATTATGTGATTGCTTTGAAAAAAAAACGTTTGCTGATAATTTACTCACCCCCATGTCATCCAAGATGTCCATGTCTTTCTTTCTTCAGTCAAAAAGAAATTAAGGTTTTTGATGAAAACATTCCAGGATTTTTCTCCATACAATGGACTTCAATGGGGACCAAACGGTTCAATATCCAGTGCAAACTGTTCAAAGGGCTTTAAACGATTCCAGACGATGAATAAGGGTCTTATCTAGGACCATTCGAGTCATGACTCATGATTCAACGAACGAAATCGACGAATTGACTCGGAAAAAGATTCATTCATTTTGATGAACGAGTTCGAACAGGAGAGTCACGAACGCGGTTCACAGAACAGAGCAAGGCGAGCATTTGAGCTCATAAAACTTAAACTTTGTTATTTATTTATTAAATGAGCGATCGTTTCGCTTGATAAGACCCTTAGTCATCGTCTGAAATCGTTTAAAGCACTTTGAACCGTTTGCACTGGATCTTGAACCGTTTGGACCCCATTGAAGTCCATTATATGGAGAAAATCCTGGAATGTTTTCATCAAAAACCTTAATTTCTTTTCGACTGAAGAAAGAAAGACATGGACATCTTGGATGACATGGGGGCGAGTAAATTATCAGCAAAAGTTTTTTTTCAAAAGTGAACTACTCCTTTAAGGACTTGCCTGCGCCATCTGCAGTTTCATGACTGAACTAGAAATCTTCCATTCCTGTAGACTGATTATTCCAAGCACAATTTGAGACTCTAGAGGAAACTTGTAAGATTACTGCCGGCTTTTTGTCAGGAGAAACAAATAAGAAGCACTAGCCTTCAGCATTTTCTCTCAGTTTAATCATGTTGCTGTGTAGGAGAAACATTTGAGATATTAAGATTATCTCATTTGTGATTTGTGAATTTGAAAGCAGGTTCAGTTCCTCCTGATGTCATGGGAATGTGATCTTTTTCATAACCAAAAAGTTACAATATCAGCAGTGATCTTTCTGCTCAGGAACATTCCCTCTCTGCTGAACATGTGGGCTGGGAAGGGTTATGTCTGATTATTTTTTTATTTTTGTAGACGCACTGCACCGAGAGAGAGAGAGAGAGAGAGTATAATGCATTGAAATGCAGGTCCTGTGTGCAAACGTGTCCTGATTATCACTGCCAGAAAAACCATTATGACAATGTTCCAGGCATATCTCCCCCTGCCTTTTTATTTTGTACAAATGTCAAGCTCTTTTTCCTAAAATAGCAAATTGATTGTGTTTCCCATGATTCCCTGCTAAATAAATGAGACGTCCAACATTGCCTCAGTCATCACTGTACAATGTCTATAATGATGTCTGGAGAAATAAGCGTGAACTCGAGATGGAATTGAATCAGTGGCCTTCGCTCAGATCAAACACAGACAGTCGTCGACGCAGACCCTCCGGGGTTTATTGAACACGGAAATGGCTTTATCACAACAAAAAGAGATCTACATTGTGATCCATTTATAATATGAATTGAAGAGAACTGCCTGGTTCACTTTTGGGTCACAGGTTGTGACTTTAATTCTTTCAGTTATAAACATTAGTAAACACACGACCTGCTGAGTCTGAGA